ACCAACAGTAAAGTAACGAATGCACAACTTTCAACAGTACCAGAAAATAAACACTTTGAAACACATCCATGAATCTTCACTGGAAACAGAAATATTCAAAATCATAAGAAATCGAGGCTGTAGTATTGAATGCTTTTTTTAACTGTCACGAACTCCTCGTGGGATATTTATAGAATGCCATTAAATGTATTACTAAACCTCCCTGAACGATAAAACGTCAATATTAATTGTTGCCATTCCTGGGTATGCCAATATCATGACATCAATCATACTATTTTTATCAAGTATTTTAAGTATACGCGCAGTGACGTCTTCTACGCAGCTATAGTAGTAACTTAGTTCATGACTTTTTGTTGGATAGACTGACTTTTGAAAGCATATGGTAAAACTATATGACAAATCATACGATAAAACTGTAAGCAGAAGTATTCTTCTGATGTTAGACAATCAATTTTTAAGAAGATTTCAGCCGGCTTTGTGGTGGGAAAGAGAGATTGTGTGTTTGTGAGGTGAGGTGGTGGGGAAGGAAAATCTGTTATCGCTTACGGATCGCATTCCATTCTACATTCACAATCATGAGTATAATAGTCTATGTTACATTTGAAYTTTTCTACAGCTGATTATTTGAGTCAGTCAACTTATTTATTTTGGCTCCCTAGTCTACGCTTTTGAAAAGGTTTAAAAATGACAACGTAAATCAAACAACTTCCGAATGTACTGTTGAGTGAAAAGGACGCAGTTGAAAGGAGTATAATCATATTCAGTAATGTTTTTTTTTTTTAAATAAGTATTGGAGATAAGTACATACTACGCGGATTCTGATTGCTCGGCACAATCTTAAAGCCACTCATAAAGTCTTTATCAGACGACATAAATACACTGAAGCCCAACAAAACCATTTCTGTGTATGTGGGAATCGCCTATCGCCTTTGGCGATGATAACACAGTGTATTGAAATAGGTCTATAAACACGAGGCGTTACCAAGTGTTTCCCTTGCTGTGTTTATGTCGCAGTATTCAGGACGTTTTAAATTATTATTTTTTTAAATATAAATGAGTTGGGCTTGTTATTTGCAATGTGAATTGCAAGCTAGAGACACTACGCTGAAGTTAGCAGAATATATTTTTCGTGATATTCAAAGGCGAAAGTTAAATGCATTAATCTTATGGAGAAATGCAATTAGTTAGCAGAATATATTTTTCGTGATATTCAAAGGCGAAAGTTAAATGCATTAATCTTATGGAGAAATGCAATTGGGATATGGGAGTGTTTTCGATTTGGGAGATTTTGAGCTGCTGCAGATGTTCAGTGTGTGTTAACTTCAGCATGGTGCTAGAGACAACTCCTTTTTATTTAAATGCCGAACTATATGACATGAAACTTGAGGGGTGGTAAACTCGATAAAACTTACCTTCTTC